CCCCTCTGCTCTTTCTCATTCCCGGGAATGTCTTCAGTCTCACGGCCCCCTCTGCTCTGACCTAGTATCTAAAATTACATCAGATACGTTGCATCAAGTGCTTTTGGATTTTAGAAAGATCACAGCATTGGGCACAGAGAGGACACGATGTTTTGTGAATGAATGGTAAAAAATCTTCCTTAAAATCTATCAGCCTCATGTGAGATAAACCTGAATATCAACCCATTATACCGACTCGACTCAACTACGCACCAAAGGTCAGTGAAATCTGGTAAGGACTTTTGAAACATAAACTTATCTAGAAACGTTTCTAGATACAGCCTCATGATACATCTCCATTAAGAAATGCTGAGTACCTGTCACGTGACAGGCCCCCATGGATAAGACTCCACGTTCACAGCGAACATGAAGAGAAAAAGTACAATATGCTGTTCTCATGACTGAGAAAGATAATACGTCCTGTCACAGTGAGAGCACGTAGGACATACTGTGTGTATGACAGAAATGCAGGAAGGGACAGTACTTTATTTACACGAATTTAATTTCCCATTATCATTATTTGCTCTTTACTTGGCAGTACAAACCTATATAACTTAATTTCCATTCATATTAGTCGTATTTACATATTATTTGACAAACGTGACTCAGCAAACTGCATGATCATGTTATTATTCTCATTAGATAACACATTTTAATATGGATCATGACTACTTATTTTCAAAGATGAAGCTGGTATGTAGCTACTGAACGTAGGAAAGACAAACATGTAATCAATACTCTTTCATTCTGAACAAGTACTGAGAGAGCAGAACAGCCTAGTGGAAAGACCACTAGATTTAGAGTTAGACGATATGGGTTCAGTCCTGTTCTCGTTGATGAGCTGTGTCACTTTGGGGCAGCCACTGACTGCTCTGGTCATGGTCTTCCCAGTGTCAGAAGAAGGTAATCTTCCTGCCAACTTATAGGGTTCTTGAGAGGATAACATGGAATGATACATAGGACAGTGTCCTGCAAAATGTAAAGTATCAGGCACCTAAAAGGTATTTTTATAAAGGCTGTCCTGTGCTCATGAGCTGCAAGCACTGTTTTCCTGGGATGCTATAGGGGACTCACCCACTCCACTGCCTGCCCTTCTCTTTCCCATGCTATTCTTAGTGGGCTTCGTTGTTTCCCTGCAATCCAGAGCTGGGCCAGCTTGCCAGGAGTTCTACTGAAGCTACGTCCTTACTTTGTCTTCTACTTGGTTTCTGGAATTATTGTGTCATGACTTAGGGTAGAAGTTGTAGAGGCAGACTTCCTACTTCCACTCCTAGCTTCACTGTTTGCTAGCCTGAGCCCTGAATTAACTTAGTTCTACTTTAAGCATCAGTTGACTGATCACTGCACCTCCAGATGAAAAAACTGCCTTTTTACAAGGTTTTTTACAATGTTTTTATGGGGATTAAAAATTCATATAAAATGCTTAGCACAGAGCCCAGAACACAGGATATATTCAGTTAACATTAGTTACTAGGAGTAGGAGGAGAATTATCAATACTGCTAGTTCTGCCACCACAACCGCCACACCCACCGACGCAGCTACCGGACCACGCGGACAGCAGAGACGTTTTGCCGTTTTCTGCTCGATTTGCAACCACCAGTGCTAGGCTGCAGCAAGCCTCCTTTCCTGGATGACTGTCTGCGCGCTGGCACGCTTGTTTTAAGATTTAATGTTAAAACCACCATCTTTATAATGTTAAAAAGGAATCAGAAAATACGTGATGCTTCTCATGTGACCCTATCTTTATTCACATACAGCAGTCATTCTCAACTGCTTTTATCCGCAGGGGACGTTTGGAAATGTCTGCAGACATTTTTTGATTGTCACGACTCGGGGTGGGGAGGCACTACTAACATCTCGTGGGTGAGGGCAGCAGAAATACCGAACAACAACCTACAGTGCACAGGACAGTCCCCAAAAAAGTATTATCTGGCCCAAAAAGTCAATAGCGCCAAGGTTGAGAAACTCTGACATAAAGGGCGGTGGGTGTTGTCCAAGGGTCTGGCTTTGACATTTTTCTCTTAACTTTTCCCAACTTCATGATACTTACCTACCGTCTCCCTTGAGTGCTAGTCCTACATTTCTTACCACTTCATTGACATGTTCCTTATCTACAATATATGTCATTTTTCCTGCCCAAAATTATGTTTCTGGTCACCAGCACAAAATCCAAGTTACCCTCGGTTAACTGTCTTCCTGTCTTCCATGTCTACCCCTTCTTGTCCATTCCTAACATCTTACTCCTTTAATCGTTCACATCTTTCCTAGATTATTATAAATTCCCTGAAGTTATCGCCCCACCTCCAGATTTTCCATGGCAATCTATCTGATACGCAGCAGCCAGGTTAACTGCAATAATGAAGGTTCTGTTCACCTCACTCTCAGTCCTTTCATAGATTCTGAACAGGTTTTTTAAAAGATCATATGACTTAGTTTAGAAGTCAAGACCTTTGCTGATCTTGTCTGAACTAATCTTTCTACCTTACCTTCCACTGTCTCTTTCATGCTCTGGCCAAAACCGGCCCATTTCTACTCTCTGACTACGTCCCGTGTTTCCCACTGCACCTCCTTGCCCACTTCTTTCTTACGTCCAGCCACCAAAACCATACTCATCTGTGCAAGCCATTTCAAATGCTGCATCTTTCTGGAAGCCCTTCTGATAATCCTGGGTAGATCAGACAGAAACAACTGCTGTCTCTTTTAACTTACACAGCATGAGGTTTGTACCGGTTAGTCTGGTTTTATTGTGTGTGTGGTTATTATTTTTTGGGGGGGAGGGTGTCAATTACTGGTAGTATGTTATTGCAAAGTGTATTGCTCATCTCTACTTAAAAAAATCCTCCAGTTTTTGTAAACCATGCTTTATCTGGACTAGTTAATTTTGAGTCTACATTCTCCTCAACTTGTATTAATGACTTACTCATCGTCAACATGGTATCTCACTGACCCCGCTATTTGCAGAAGAACAAGCCTTAGTCCCTACTGTCCAATAGCCAATTTATTAATTTCTTTAAAGAAAACAATAATGAAGGAAAAAAAAATCCCAATCAAAATCTCTGCTCTCCTACTGAGTTGATTCACTTTATTACATTTAAACCAGCCTAGGCTGAGAGGACATTTTATACTTAAAGAGTGTGTCTTAATTTTATTTGCACATTTTACTTATTTGTAATGAGGCCTTCTCCCTCCAGATGGGCACATGTTAATCAAATACATCTTACATTTTATAATACCCCAATATTCACTTGAGGTGGGAACAAAAGGCCATCTGTAAACAAAATGACATCCCCTAGAAGTGGGAGACTTAAGTTCTAGCAATCATTAAGAATATTCTGTCATCAGAAAAAATATATATAATTTATAAAATATAAAGCGATACATTAAACAAAGACAAATATTTCTGGTTTAGGTATCTTTTTCCTCGCCTCATTATAAAAAATACCAAATTCCTTAGTTTAAAAGTAGATAGTAGTAGCTAGAAGACTTGATCTTCTCTAAACAAAGCCCCTCCCCCATCCTAGCTTCCCACACAAAGTCTGAGTCATGACCAACATCATATATTCATTACTAACCATGCTATAAGAGATAGCTGATAATGAATCTCCCTCCATAGGCTTGTGCTTTCGATTTTTACATCTTCAGTTTACTTTTCACCAGTATTTAAATAAAAACCTATAAAAGGCTATGGCTTGATTTGGGTTGAATAAAAGGCAGTCAAGAGCAAATTGATGGGAAATCAAGAAGAACTCTAAGATTAAAACTTGGTAACTGCCTACTGTGTGTCGGGCATTTTACACACATTGTTTCATTTAATCTTCAAAAACACTGTACAAAGCAGAGATTCTTACACCCATTTTCCAGATGAGGAACCCACCCACCCACCGCTGTCAAGTCGATTCCGAGTCACAGTCACCCCATGGGGCTTCCAAGGCTATAAATCTTTCCAGAAGCAGACTGTCACATCTTTCTCCTGCGGAGCCACTGGTAGTTTCCAACTGCTGACCTTTAGTTAGCAGTCAATCGCTTTAACCACTGCACCACCAGGGCTCCTTCCAGATGAGGAAAGTGAGGTTTAATACTTGAAAGACACTTGAACGATGTCACGGAGCCAGCCAAGTTTGCCTGGTCTCAAATCCTGCCTAGTACGCAGCCTGAGACCCAACTTTAAGATTCTCCGTTAATTACTCTCGCATGTAATCTATGTCAAGCTAAAAAGAAAAGAAAACCATGACATCAACTGGGAAATCTCCTACTCCCAATTAAAAAAAAATTACTGGGAGAGACTCCTTAACCTTGGTCAGCCTGGCAGTGCGCCTGGTGTCTGTCAGTCTTATTTCTTTAAATAAGCCTGAAGGCAAGGAAGAGAAATTAGTCTTTTAAAATGCTTTTCCTTCATAAACCATCATGCTGACAAATTAAATGACAGTAACCTCCGTCGCCAGCTGACAGCCTAGCAGGGGCCCTGCTGACATGTGCATTAGGGCAGATGGATTGGTGTAACTGGCAGTCTTGCCTAAAACCTGCAGAGGAACTGATGCTGAATCAATCATTTCCTTCAGCAACAGTCGGCAACTGGAATGCAGCAATGCAACCAAAGGCTCTTATTTATTGTTGAAACCAAGAGACCACGTGATTACTTCGATTTTATTTTCTGAAACTGTGTGCTTTCACAAAAAGTCATCTTTTAAAAATGCTTCAAAGAGAAGATTTCTTACCAAATTTTTCCATATCTCAAACTGGGAGCTACCAGAGGCAGACAGTGTAGTGAGGAGTAAATCTAGAAGGAAATAAGAGAATTTTAAGTTTTGTAGTCATTCTGATGTGCACAATTAAAAACAGCAAGAAACGCAATACATAAAATAATTATTAACACAGTTCTAATTAATATATTTTAGATTACATTTTAACAGGCTTGATCCATCAAAGAAAAGACAGCAGAGGATCCTGTATCAATACAATTAAGGAAACTGCATGTAAGGGGATTATCTGGTATTAGTCCTTCAAAACATTCCTTATTTTCAAGAACAGGGATGCGTTTACTTTTTTATCTTTCACATTATCGTTCCAGGGTGTAAGATGGAATATATTTTTTAAAAAGATACTCTGATCATAGTGATATTTTTCTTTCGTACCCTAAAAGCAAAACTTGTATATATATAATAGTCAGGTTTCAGAATCAATTTACAGTATTATAGTATCCAAAATCTTTACCATTCATGTTAAACGAGCAATATATTTTAAAATTTGAATAACATAATTGTCTTCATGATAAATTCCAACTAAAGAAAGATTTATTGGGGAATCCAAGAATTTTAATAAAGTTTCTTTGAAAAACAATAGGTGACAGTTAAATCACCATCCTATTAATGCAAAGGCCCACTGAACTGCAGGGGCATTTATTATAATGTTTGCAAAATGGTAATTTTATTTAGTGAATATGTAAAGTCTTAAAATGATGGGTTGACTCATAGGAACATTAAAATGGCATTAATCTTTTATGCTTTAAAAATGGAAATTATTCAGGGTGATGCGAAGACCGTAACTAGTTTAAAGAAAAGGTTGGTTTTTTTCTCCCCTACATTAAACATGTTTAGAAAACCATCATTCATATTTTAATGTGTCTTCTGTAAAGGATTCATATGAACTAAACGAAGCTAACTCATGTGATAATTATAATAATAAAGATTTTCACAGACTCCCCAGAAAGCCAAGTAATTTGTTCACTTTTACAATGAAAACCCCCTACTCCTGGTAAGAGGAGTCATTCTTTATGTCAACATAGCAATTGCCTCTGCATTTGTTTTCACCACAGTGAAGACGCTTTGCTTATGGATATAGAATTAGAGTCTTATATGAAGATGATTTCTTTACCCAGTCATATAAATACACTTCCAGCTAAGTGTTTGCTTCCATACTCACCTATGGAAAGTTCCAAACGACATCTGAGGTTTGTGTGATGATGTACTTACTGCTAACACTCTCTCCCTCTCCATGTATTCTGCACACTGCTCTCAGTATGATTTAAAAAAAAAAAAAAATCCAAATGTGGTATCATTCCTTCTCTTCCAGAGTGTCAGGCAAGCTCTTAGCCTGTCGTGTGAAGGCCTCCCTATCGCCGCTTCCAGGCTCACTGCCCACTGCTCCCTTACAAGCAGCTTGTGCTCCAGACAAAGTAGCCACCTGGTTTTATCTGCCTCTGTACATGTCGCTCCCGCTCTCTGCAGTGCCCTTCTACCTCACAGCCATCCGGTGAATGGACTCTTCAAAATAAACTCAAACGTCCCTTAGGTAGAGCTTTCCCTCCATTATAATTCCACGGTGATATCTGTTTTAGTGGTTATTACTATGTACCATGATATTCTGGTTTCACACCTGGCTTTCCTGAGATTCTTGAGAGCAGAAGTTATGTCTAATTGATTTTTATATCCCCGTGATTTCGATTCCAGGTGCTTGGAAATTGCATATGTTTAAATGATTGTTGAATAACTATGGCACGGGCTACATGCATATTGTGGTTCTTGCAAATTTGCCTGGACTGTCTAAAAACAGTTCTCTATTTCGTCTTTAAATGGAAAGTCTTGAAAAAAAAAAAAGAATAGTCTTATGTTAAAGTTAATGTAAAATGTATGTTTTATGTAAAATTTCATCAAAAGTATGACTAGCCACAGTGACTACTGTACTAAGAATGCTTAAAAGCCGTTACATTTTTATGTTATCTGCAGATGTGGATAATCAGTGAAAGAAAGTGACGAGGTACCAGTAGCCACAGAGACTTCTAAGAATCACTAAGGGCGGAGTGTCAATACAACCTCTGAGCTACTGAAAGAATCCAAATCCACCAGGGGCAACCATGCGAGTACATAATAAAGCACAGGTGAATGTTTTCAAAGTGAAAACGGCAAACTGCTGAAACTCCAACTCACTGGGGAACACAGGAGGCGTATCTTTCCGATAAGGGAGCAAAGGCTCAATGCCTTACGCTAGTTAGCTTGACGGGACTGGAGACCTATTCTGTTACCACACAGGGTAAAGCAGGGATACTTAGAAGGAGTGGTGATGGATACCAGCAATCCAGCTCCACTCCTAGAAAAACAACACAAAACGTCTTTTTCTACTGGTGATGTACAGTCTCCATACATTTGCATGAAAGGTAATAAATTATGAACTTCCTATTGTTTCATGCATATTTAGAAGAGTTAAGAACTGTAACGCCTTCTTTCTATTCTCATAGCTTTATTAGCTGTTTATTAAGAGACTATGAAAAATAGTAAAGCTAGATAAGGGACTGGAAGTACCTTGTAAACAGATTTTAAAAAGCCCCATGTTCACTATTCAATTATGTAAAGAGGTTATAGAAAAATAAATAATTATATGAAGAAATAAAAATAGAGACAATTATTAACAATTCAATTATGAAGAATCACGCCTCAATGAAATGAGAAGGAAATAACTGCTAGAAAGACATTTTAGTAAACAAAGCAATAAAGTTCTCACCCTCCCACACTGCTAAGAGTAATTTACACAGTAAAATGAAAGCAGATGTGCTCAGTGAAGTGTAATGAAGGCTGAGATATGTCACTAAGCTCTCTTTAGAAATGAAGGACTTACTCCCTCGGCTGCTGGAAACAGTGCTGGTAGACATTCTCAGTGGTCAGCCCTCTTAGGAACAGCTCTGGCAGTAAAGAGCTACCTTGCCAAAGGTCTTGCCTCTTTCTGGGCTGGCTAGCATCCAGTAACAGGACAATTTAGAGACATAAAGACCAAACCCTTTCACAACTCAGGACAACTCTGTAGGGCCAGTCCACATTCACAGCTTCCCAGGGTCACCAGCAAGGCTTTTGTTGACACCGCATCACAAACCCAACGGTGATTCCTTCCCTTCCACGGTGCTGACAACAGGCACATTCCCTAAGAAGTTTCCTGCACACCAGTCTCCATCTCAGATCATCTCATCTCTCACCTAGGAAACACAATCTACAAGAATTGACACCAAAAGTGACCTGAGATTGGTGAAGGGAAAGACAACACACAACATAGGCAAAGTCAGCACACCTTGACCATGGCAAAGCCACAGAAGCTTCCCAGACACATCCAAACACCCTGAGGGTCTGAGTTACTGGGGCTGAGGACCACGGTCTCGGGAGACTTCCAGGTCAATTGGCATAACATAGTTCATGAAGAAAATGTTCTACATCCTACTTTGGTGAGCAGCGTCTAGGGTCTTAGAAGCTTGTGAGCGGCCATCTAAAATACTTCTATTGGTCTCATCCCGTCTAGAGCAAAGGAGAATGAAGAAAACCAAAGACACAAGGAAAACAGTAGTCGCAAGGACTAATGGACCACAGGAACCACAGCCTCCACCAGCCTGAGCCCAGAAGAACTAGATGGTGCCCGGTTACCACCACCAACCGCTCTGACAGGGATCACAATAGAGGGTCCCAGACAGAGCGAGAGAAAAAGGTAGAACAAAATTCAAATTCACACAAAAAAGACCAGACTTACTGGTCTGATAGAGACTGGAGGAACCCCCAAGACTATGGCCCCCAGATACCTTGCTAACTAGAACTGAAGCCACTCCCAAAGTTCACCTTTCAGCCAAAGATTAGACAGACCTATAAAACAAAAATAGCACATGCGGAGAACATGCTTCTAAGTTCAATCAAGTATATGAGACCAAATGGACAACACCTGCCCAAAAGCAAAGCCGAGAAGGCAGGAACGGACAGGAAAACTGGACAAATGGACAAGGAGAACCCAGGGTGGAAAAGGGAAGGGGGGAGAGTGCTGACACACTGCAGGGATAGGAACCAACGTCTTGAAAAAAGCTGTATGTAAATTTTTGAATGAGAAACTAATTTGGGCTATAAACTTTCACCTAAAACACACACACACACACACACACACACACACAAGTGATGTTAGAAAGCAGACATTAAGATGAGGTTTTGGAGTTGGATTACCTAACAAGGGACTGGCAATAAGAATACCGTACTGGTGGTAAGTGGAGCACAGATAGCCCTGCAATTGCTAAAACTTTCACTGGTGCTGTACTGGGATAGTATTTTGGTGGAAGGCAATGCACTTGTGGGTGTGTTATTTCAGGCTTTTGAGAAAAATATGCGGTAAATATTAACTATAAGGACAGAGGAATTAGATGGCTATTGCTAAGCTCAATTGAAAAAATGCAGGAACAAGAAAAATGCTGAATGTAATTAATCAGAAATTAAAAGCTAAGTGTGAAAGCCAGAGGACCTCCTGGGTAGCATATAGAGAGAATCATCTCCTGCAACAGGAGGGCAGAGAAAGCTCAGGACCAAGACCAGGACTTTAATGGCAAGATTAGAAGTTCCCAGGAAGGTTAAATTTTCAGCCTAAGAAGGTCTACCATGCTAAGGTTAGGACCCTAGTTGATTACAGAATGATAACTTGACCCACAGGACAGGAGCATCTGGGTTGATGAAGCTGAAAATCGTAAATCCCCAGATTCACTTGAACTTTTAGAGCTTGCAGAAGTGGGTCATTCTTCACTGTTAAAAGCTAGCATTATCCCCAGTTATCCCCCTACCCCTACTCTCCAGGTCTGCCCCACCTTCTCTCCTGGCCATCAGGCCAAGAAGTGGGGTTAAGTTACAAGATAACCTGACTAGGGATAATGGTCATGTAAGGGAAGGAAGGGACTATACTTCCAGGAAATCCAGGACTGAGCTAACATGTACAGGCAGGAGCCAGGACTATGTACTAAGAGTGCTTGATCAAGGTT